AAGTTCCATTTAGAAGCTGAAAGCTGCCAGGCCTCCAGCCTGGTCCTCTCCCCTGAAATCCACATTGTGTATCTAGTTTCCTACTCAGCGTGTCCTGTTGATTGACCAGCAGACTCTCAAAGTTAACATGCCCAAAGTTGACCCAATAGTCTTTTCCTTTCTTCACCCTTAAGCTTCCCCATTTCAGTGGTGGCACCTCCAACTTTCCAGTTCCTCAAATCTTTCAGTCTCTTTCTCTCTCTCTCTCTTTTTTTTTTTCCCCCACTGATCCATCTCCAGCATCTAGAACCTTCTAGCACACAAATGGAGCTCACAAGATGGAAAAATAAGTAAATGGTTGATAAATGAGTAGATGGATGGATGGATGGATGGACAGAGAGAGCTGGAAAGCCCTGGGCACTTCTTGATGCTCCACACACCTCCCACAGGGCCAACGCCAGCTGTTGGGGCACAGAGCAGAGTGCCAGCTCACCACCTAACAAGGTGGCTGATGACAGGGAAGGGGTAGGGGCCAGGGAACAGGTCCGGAGGGAGGGAAGGTGTCAGGAGAGAAATGGGAAAGATGGATGGACAGCTTTTGGAGCTGCAGAGGGGGATGCCCGTGAGAGCAGATGGTGGGGAGTGCGGGCGGCAGGCGACAGATGTGCCATGGCTGATCAGCGATTCCGCCCGTCACCTTTAGAGCACTGGTGTGCACTTTCTTCGTTTGTGGGCAATTAGGCAGAGATTTGTTTGCACTGCCTTGGAAAATGAAACTGCTGTAAAGTGCACCCACTGGAAAAAGGGTTTCTGAGCCATGGACTGGGGCGGAGGGAGAAGGGGGACCGGGCCTGCAGCTGGGAGGGGCCTGCTGGGGCCTCTGTAGGGACCTGAGGAGGCGCCACGCCTCTGAGCTTGGTTGCAGGAGCCACACTTGTGGTGGGAGGTGAGGGGGTGGAGGGTAGGCATGCTGACATATCCCAGGAAACTAAGCAAAGTTGGTATCTGCAACCCAGACCTCCCTTGAATCTCTCCAGTTCTGGCTGCCCCGTGAAGGCCGGTGGTCAGAGATGAGCTGTAAGGGTCTTTCTGTACTTTGTTGCTGCGATGGTGACAGGTGGCACTTTGGCCACTTGAGTGAGTTCACCTTTGGCTGGTTCAGCTCCTGGATAACCTGACCTCATCCTGGGGACATCTGGGGGTTCAGTTGGATACCAGAGTAGATTTTGCCCCCAAATTACTTAAAGTTTTGCTCCCAGTTTACATACATACAGATGGTGGAGTTACAGAAGCAGGGGACCCCAGGTCTCTAGCTGATCACAAACGACTTGTGGCACCCAGGGACCTCGAGCCACTTCATCACCTGGAGGCCTTGTTAAGATGCAGACTGGTGGGCCCCACACAGGAATATCTAGGCTGGTGTCCAAGAACTGGCATTCCTAACAAGCCTGCTGATGCCACTGGTCCAGGGATCCCACTTTGAGAACCCCTGGGCTGGAGGGAAGAACCCATTACTAGGGGAAGTTGAGGGGAAGGCTCTGAACCTCACCTGGCACTCTCTGGGAAGGATTCCTGCAGGAGACGTCTTGACCTGAGACCCGAAAGACTGAGCAGGAGCGAGAGTGGACGAGAGGTCGGGGTCAAGGGTATCTTTCTCTCCCAAAACCCCAACCCCTCACTGCCTCCTTTGTACCCCCAGCACCTAGAGTCCTCACAGGGGATCCCTTCATAGAGTTCAGGATGGGGACCTGAGGTTGAATCTCGCCCTCCACCCAAGGAGCTCTGGTGGCACCGTAGTTAAGTGCTGGCGTGCTAACCTGAAGGCTAACCAGTGGGCAGGAGAAAAGACGTGGGGAACTGCTCGCATGAAGATTTCCAGCCTAGGAAGCCCTGTGGGACAGTTCTACTCTGTCATACAGGATCCTGTGAATCAGCATTGACATGAGGACACATACCAATGCCCATGAAAACTCAGCACTGCTGTCTGCTGTCCCCAGTGGTAGTCTGGCCTAGATTTGCACACCTCCTGGGACGGGTAACTCACTACCTTTTCACACAGCCAGCTCAGTTCTGATTGTGACTGTATGAAAGGTCTCGTGAGGAAAAATCTAGAACATGTACACCAGTGTTGAGGTTGGGCCCGCTCCACCTGAGGGTTTTGGGGTGAAGACCACCCCCCCCCATGCCCCGGTGTGGCTGGGCCCTCACTGGCCCGCCTTCTCTCTCCCTGCAGTCCTGGTGCTGCTGATTCTCACCCTCCGGCGCCACCACAAGAGCCACCTGAGCTCGGACGAGGACGAGGACATGCGGGACAACGTCATCAAATACAACGATGAGGGCGGCGGCGAGCAGGACACGGAGGCCTACGACATGTCGGCGCTGCGGAGCCTCTACGACTTCGGCGAGCTCAAGGGCGGCGACGGGGGTGGCGGCGGGGGCACCGGCGGGGGCGCAGGGAGCCCCCCGCAGGCTGGCCTGCCAACCGAGCGCCACTCGCTGCCGCAGGGACCCGCGAGCCCAGAGCCGGACTTCTCGGTGTTCAGGGACTTCATCGGCCGCAAGGTGGCGCTGGCGGACGGGGACCTGTCGGTGCCGCCCTACGACGCCTTCCAGACCTACGCCTTCGAGGGCGCGGACTCGCCGGCCGCCTCGCTCAGCTCGCTGCACAGCGGCTCGTCCGGCTCCGAGCAGGACTTCGCCTATCTCAGCAGCTGGGGCCCGCGCTTCCGGCCGCTGGCCGCGCTCTACGCCGGACACCGCGCAGACGACGAGGCGCCTGCCTCCTAGCGGCCTGCCTCGCCGTCGGGGGCGTCCGCTCGGCCGAGGACCGAAGCATTGCAGCTGCTCTTCTCCCTAAGCCTGCCACCTCCCGGGCAGCCGGACGGGAGGGGCCTGTTAGGGGGCAGGTTTTGGACCCAGGGGCGCGGGAATTACGACCAACGTCATTAAAACTGCAGCGACAAGGGGCATTGTGTGGCTCTGGGGTACTAAGGGAGATGGGGAGGCCGTGCTGCAATGGAAGAGGGTGGGTTACCCAATGCTGGCCTAGGGCGTGGGAAGGCTCCCCCTCCCCGAACAGTTAAGAGGAAAGAAGGGCTGTTCATTTACTAAGCGCCTACTGTGTGCTGGGACGCTGTGCAGAGACCATCTCGGTTGTCATAGAAACCAGGAGGTGGGATCCTCCAGGCAACAGATGGGGAAAGCCACCCAAAGATGTGGCTGTGACCTGTCCAAGAACATTCAGCCAGTGAGTGGCCCAGCCTCTGGCACTTACCAGCTGCCTAGCCTTGGACAAGTTACCAAACTTCTTGGGACCTCAGTTTCCTCATCTGTCAAATGGGGTTAATAACAGAACCTACCTCGAAGAGTTGTAAGGATTAAAAGGGTTGATATGCATAAAGTGGTTAGGACAGAGCCTGGCACATAGTAGGTGTTCAATAAATGTTCGCCAATGTTACTGTTGTTATCAGTCACTGTCATTATTAGAAGCTCAGTGTGCCTGCCCTTTTCCTAACATCTAGAATAGAGGAAGAAGTGGTCCCACCTGTCAGCTCTTGCTCCCATCCTGAGTGGGGAGTGGGGATGCTCCCAAGGGCTGCAGAGTGACACACCTGGCAGGGGAGCCAGGACAGAAGACACTGGGTGGCTCCAGGGACTTGGGGGGGAGCACTAGCAGGAGATGGAGGAGTCAGAAGCCACCAGGCTTGGTGGGGACCTTACCTGTCCGGTCCAGACACCCATCACTGTCCCCACCCATGTACCCCAAGTTAAGAACTTCTGGGCTAAATGGTCTCTAAGAGCTTCTAGCTCTAAACCCATGTGATTATAAGACAGTTTAGTCATTCTCCCTGCCCCCACCACCAGTGATTCATTCATTCTGCATTATAGATGTGAATCCCAGCTCTTACCAGCTGGGCGTCCTTCATCAAGGTCCTCAATGCTGACGCCTCTGTTTCCTCATCTGTCAAATGGGGACAATGGTAGTCTCTCCCTCAGAGGCTCAAAGGAGATAATGAATGTTAAGCTCTGTTCTGAGTGCCTTCCTGACCCATTGAAAGTGCTCAATAAATGTTCATCAGCCTTATGTTCTCACCCTTCTAGCGAGCATTCCTTCATGAGCTCCACATCTGCCAAGGTCCACTGTAATGAAGCCAGATGTTCGTTATGTCCCAGCACCTTACCTGAGTTATTTTCATCTTTACAATCCCCTAAGTTAGGTACTGTCAGTCCCAGTTCACAGGTGAGGAAACTGAGGCTCAGAGGGTAGTAACCTGCCCCAGGTTACACATGATATAGTAGTTCCTACCTTCTAGGAGCTGGAGACCTCACTAGGGAAAGGAGGGAGGGGCAAACATGAAAACAGCCAATAATAATGCAGTTGGTAAGATTTACAGCAGAATTAACAGAACAAGGTAATGGGAGCACTAAAGAAAGACTGAATAATTCTTGGAGAGCTTCATGGTGAGGTAACATCCAGCGGGGTCTTGAAGAATGAGTATGAAATGGCCAAGCAAATAAAAATATTCCAAGCAGAGAGATCATCTGTACACAGGCAGCAGGCAGCAGGGCTAGGAGTGGAAGAAGCATGCGATGGCTTCAGGAATGGTGTTTGGTCCCAGAGGCCAGACCCCAGGGTGAAGGAATGGGAGATGTGAGGCAGGGAAAGTTGGTTGTCCCTTAGACCAAGCTAAGAGACTTGATGCTCTGCCCAACTTTAACGTGTCTTCTGAAGTCCATCAAGGGTAGCTGATTGTGGGGATGTAGGGTTGGGGTGGTAGGCCCAAATGAAGAGCTATCTGGGAGCTTTAACTCATCCCATGTGGGACACTTAACCCAATGTACCAATGGGTATGGTAACTTGGGGACTAGTGGACAGATGTGTGATCACCTCCCTCACCCATGTATGCCCAGTTCTCACACACACAATCCCAGTATCGATTCTGAAATGGGTTATTGTCATGCCCACTGTGCAGAGGGAAACGGAGACTCAGAGGAGCAAAGTGACGGCCTCAAGGTCACCCAGAGGTCATGGACAGAATGGGACACCACCAGTCCCCCGAGTCCAAGTCCTTGTTCTTCCACATGCAGATTCTTCATAGATTCTGACTCTACCAAGAAGGTTACAGGCAGGTGACATCTCCAAAGGGACACAAGGACATGGATTCACAGGGACTCTTGAACACACAAGGTCACACAGAGTTAAAGACCTGCCCAGAAATGCAGACAAGCCTTTATCTGGACTTACTTTCTGAGCCTCTGCCACAGAGCAGCCGTGTGATTCTGGACAAGTCGTTCACTGCCTTTGTGCTTGCGTTTTCTTATCCATAAAGTGGACACACTCAGGGCATCTGCTTCATAGGGTCAGGTTGTTGTGTTGTTGTTATGTGCCGTCGAATCAAACCCAACTCACAGCAACCCCTTCTTGGGTTTCCAAGGCAGTATCACTACGGAAGTAGATTGCCCCATCTTTCTTCCAAGGAGTGGCTGGTGAGTTTGAACCGCCAGCCTTCTGGTTAGCAGTCAAGTGCCTTAGGCACTATGCTACCAGAGCTCCCATAGAGTCGTAGTGAAGATAAAATGCCAATAGCAAGTGACACTTCCTGAACTTCCCATGCACCAGGCATTGCTCTAAACGCTTTACCTGCATTAACTCATTGGATGCCACAGCAACCCAAGGAGGTATCCCCATTTTGTAGATGAGGAAACGGAAGCACAAAGAGGTTAAGTAACCTGCCCGGCATCAAAACAAGAGTGGGACTACCAAGGCTTAGACCTGAGCACTCCGGCCCCAGCACCTATGCCACGAGCAGCATGTACGTTGCACGGCGCCCAGTAAGCCCTTCGCATATGTCCTGTATCCAGGTGTTCCTTGTGCTCTGTGGAGCTTCTTCCTCCCCTCGCCACATTCCACAGCCTGTAGGAGTCCTAGATCCTCCTCCTGGTTTCTGTCTACGCTGGGATTGGTGGAGCGGGGGCGGGGTGGATAATGCTCCCAGAGTCGGGCTCCTGCATCCACCCTTGCCATCTCCACTGGGTCCTGAGCCAACCCAGGAATGACATCCAGTGAATCCCTTCTCTGGGTTCCACAAGATGTCCATTCACACCAAGCATTCTGTGAGCTTGGTGCACTTCTCTGGTGATTTGGGGTCCCAGAGAAGGGTTATGCTACAGGGGACACTACCTTAGGACATCTCATTGGTTCCCTCCACATCCCTGATAGCCTCAAATCCTTCTCCCTATGTTATGAAGGGGGTATGACCACCTTAAATGCCTGACCCAAATGGGTACATCCATCTCCATTGAGGAGTTCAGAGAACCAGGAGTCTTCCAGTCACCATGGTTGTCCTCCTTACAAGGCATTTGGGGAAATGGAAAAAAAAAAAAAAAAAAAAGTCCCCCTTTTGTTGTCATATCATCATTACCATCAAGGGAAAAAAGCTTACTCAGGGTCATGAGCAAGAATTGATGCAAAACTGGCCAAGAGTTTCAGAACCATGGATGCTAGTGGCTATGATACGATGATGATGATGATGTTGAAAATAGTGCACTCATACAGCACCCACGTGTATCATTAACACTAACACAGGTGAACCCATGCACTCTGTTTGCTGTGCTTAGTGCTTTGCTGGACTATATGAAGAAAAATGTGGTATCAGGATTGGAG